GGAATCGCAAGCTTTAAATACATATATAAGAGAAAAAAGAGAGTCTTAAAACTCTGTAAGAAAGAAAAAAAGGTTATCTTTCTTCTTTATTACTCTGTACTTAGTGCGACAGGAGAGAAGAAAGCTTCAAACGAATCAATAACTAAAATATTTTTAGTTCTGTTAATTTTTAAAGCTAAGCAAATTACAGAACAAGTTAATTCTGTATAGAAATTAAGTTAAATTATTTATAAGATATTAATTAACAGTATATTTTTATCTAAATGTACCCACAAAAACTAGGTCAATAACAATATTACAATCTTAGAATTAAGTTCCGTGCTGCGAAGGTTTTCGAAGGCTGTGAGTGGTGACGTTACATATGCACGCGGCACTGGCCACGTGGGCGTCGCCCACAATCAAGTACCACTTGTTTATTACTTCTCATTATCATATCCCACTCACCCAGTCACCTATAATCATTTTAGAAGAATAACGAGGAAATAACTTCCGCTCATATACCTATATTTGCCCATTAGCATTTTTGAGCATTAAAATATTTTAAGCAAATATCTTATCGAAATAATTTTCCACAGTTTCGGCATCACACAGTAAGTAATTGAAATCGTTAATTTAATATTTACATTTAGACTTAAGTTTGAATTTTTTTTTATTATCCGAAATTGACTTATTACATTCGATCGGATTCTTATTATTCATTGAATTATTATTTACTTTATATGGGGAACCTCTCATTCTAGCAATTAAAATCTTTAATACAAATATAAATATTTGTATATTATAGCTCACATGAGCGTTATTTGCTATCAGAAGCACTTCAGCGAGAGAAATACACATACCTATTTCTCACAGTCTTCAAAATGGCTAAAACTAAAGATTTAACTTACTCGTATGAAATGCGTTCAATGTTCATTAGTTCACAGAAATTAAAAATGATGACAACCGAAATCGTCGCGATATTTAAAATATCTTAAAGAAAAGTAGACTATAACGGGAAAAATTATGCTAAGACTAACAGTTTTTACAAAAAAACGTTTCGGACATCCATGTAAGACTACTTAAACTGTAGATAATTACCTGGCGTTGATCAGCCGACGTAACTGAAAACTAACGACTCCAGAATCGCAGCACAAATCAATAAATTAAAGCATAACCCAATTAGTACTGCTACTATCAAAAGACGATTCGTAAGGTCAGGTCTTTTAGTACGAGAAGTGGTAAACAAACCACTTCTTCGGTGCGATAACAAGATAAAACGATTTCAATGTTATCACGAATACAAAAATTGGGCACATGAACAGTGGAATTCGTCCCTCCACAACATTTTTTGGTACCTAAGGACGGGTATTTGTGCCATCATTTAAAATAACGAATTTTAATGGTTTAGTGCAGTTTTGGAGAACATACATTTGGAGAATTATAAGTAGCAGGAATTCCCGAGAAAGGATATAAAAGTATACTACAACACAATATTACATCATGATCTTAGACACGCTTTGAAACTGCACAGAGACTACCTAAAATACTTATAGCGAATGAGTGTTGAGTTCGTAATCGCAATCCCCTGACCTCTACTCCATTGAGTTGTGGGATAATTAAGTGCACAGAAAGGTACAAAAATAGTGTCCAACTTTCACCAAACTTCTTTGATACATATACTGCAGAAGAAGAGGAGTACAATAGATCATGATTATTAAACAAAATCGATCGACTCGATTCCAAACTCGTGCGTAGATGTTATCGAAGCAAAAGGTAGGTATATCGATCAAGCAAAAATTTTAGGATAATCGCAGGAAAAAATTGGGTGTTTTTATATTCAATAAAAACATCGAATTTTTCTTTTCTTTTTATATAAATCATCTTTAACACGCGGTGGGCAAATACTTATGAGTGGCAATTATAGTTGGATACAATTCTTCAAAATATACAAATAAATTGTGCAATATAAAAATTTACAAGTAGGTAATTAGAAATACATAGGTATGTACACTGCCCAAATTTATTTTTAGATGTAACAACTCTTTAACGTACTTTTCATTGAGATCGTTTAAAGAAGACAACGAAAAACAAAATTCTGAACAAATGAGACCGTCATTTGCTCAGAATTACGCTAAATATGATTTGTAGAACAAATCTGAAAACAGCGGCGAGTGACCCCGTTCCGCGCATTGCGCGTCGCTAGACTTGTCGCTCAGGCACATAAGTAAAAACAAAATTCTCAACGTAAACTAGAATAATTCTTAAAATAATATTAAACAAATAAGTCTCAACTGATCCATATTTTGTTGTTCTAGCATATTTGACGTAATTGAAAACGCACACGCGTGTCATAATAAGCGGTTCTCAAATGGTGGTCCGCGGAACCCTAGGATTCCGTGGAAGGGTCATAGGAGTTCCGAGTTCCATCCGAGAGTTAAATAAAACGTCGAATATAAAGCCTAATTTTCGTGCTATAATAAATAAATATGTGAAAAAATTTCATTCATCACATTAAATCTATACTAGTCTACATAATATAATAAAATTGTAACTAAGCCGAGTCTGTACATTAAATATTTTTTGGAAAATCTTATTGAAATAGACATTATCATCGATACAAAGGCAAAATTTATAGTTTTTAGAATTTTTGTCTGTCTGTCTGTCTATCACTCTGTCTGTTACCGCATCACGGAAAAATCACTGGAGGGATTTTGATGAAATTTGGTATGATGGTAGCTGGTTATCCTGGTCAACATATAGGATACTTATTATTGCGGGAAAATATCTCATCTCTGAGAAATCTATTCTAAACGTTATAACGTAAGTAGGGACGAAGACGAACCCGAGCGGAGCGAGTGTGAGTCGCTAGTATAATATAATAATTTAATATTATAAAGAGGTAAAATTTTGTGAGTTTGTGACATTGTAGGGGGTAATCTCTGGATCTACATGACCGATTTAGATGAAATTTGGTAAGAAGATAGTTTAAGACCCTGGGAAGGACATAGAATACTTTTATCCCGGACATCATCCCTTAAGAGGGTGAAAATATGGATGAAAGTCTGTATTGGGAAGCAAGCCAGGGACGAACCCGACCGAAGCGAGGGTGAGTCGCTAGTATATTATATTTTTGGTAAAATAAATATTATTATATGTATGTAACCTAAGTATTTTTTTTAGTTATGATTTGTTATGTTATGAAAGTATTCTAATTACACCACAATCGGTTTAGTTATTATCAAAATGGGGGTTCGTTGAAAAGTTAATGACCAATTAGAATTCCGTGGCCAAAAAAATGGGAACCGCTGATCTAGACGGCCGCGGCGTCAAGATGCACCTCTTCAAGATTGATAAATTACTTACATTAAATATATCGTTATTTGGACTGATAGGCAATAGTTCAGAGGCGCAGACGTTGCACAACAAAATATAGGTTTGGCTTTCTGCGCTAGGCTAAATTCGGATCTCAATTGACTTTGTAAGTCGATGAATGAATTGCCAGCAACCCTATGCGTGTAACTACATTTCATCCGTTGTTGCCGACTAATGACAATATTTACAAACGATCGGTGTGAACTATAGTTAAATAAACGTATTTGTAATAAAATGTACCTATCACATGTTCGAAACGAGGTTTAACTTATAGATATATAATTGAAATATATCGAATCAGATAACATTTGATTTGTCGCTTATAACATACCAAGAAACTTATAGGAACTACATATAGCGATGGTTGTAAGAATAGATATAACAAGAAGACATTGTAAAATGGATGTATTGTCTTTTAAGATAACACGTAACATAATTTGTACTAGAAACTATAACGAAGTGATGACGTAAAAGGATGTTTTCAGCGAGTCGGCAACAGCGGCCGTCTGTTTATCGTCGGAATACAGTTAGAGCTATACCCAGATTTGTCTATACCGAACTGCAGCTGTAAAAACACACAGAATTACACCACTTCTAGCATTCGCAATAAATGTACATACAAAATGATAGCTCGCCCGTTACGCAACCTGTGGCACGCGGCGCCCACGTAAATGGAAACATAACTGATTAATTATAAACAAAGAAAAAGCTTCGACATATTTTATAAATTTATCATACGATACAATTTAATGATATCACATTGCAATAATTAGGATGTAGTAAATATTCTACCTGTTATTAGATTTTAATAAAAAATATCAAAATTAAATTAACTACCTAAATGAAAATTATAAGCATTCTGCGACATTTCGCTACTTGATTCTAAAGTAAAACAATTAGTTATTTATTGAGTGTTATTTGAAATAATTAATACTTAATCTGATTTTATTATCTAATTATCTGACTGACATGAATGTAAAATCTATTATAAGCAAAAGAAACATAAATTGTACGTCGTAATTTTTTTACAATTTAAATCGATTTTGAATGCCAACAATGTTAACATCCCACAAAAATAATGGTTGAATGGTCTTATCTAAAAACTTACGTAACACTAGAAAATAAAATACATTTTTAAAAATATTATAATTCACCTTTTTATATTAAAACGAGAGGTTTTGCCTACATATATTATGGTTATGAGAATAACGATGATAGCTCTCTCGGCTTCGATTTACCGTCATAAATTATGTTATGTATTTTTAAAAGCAATATTAAAAGAACCAAGAGACAGTTTTATATATCCATTTTTCATTAAATTCTTTTAAGACATATTTTAAAGTATAAATTGTCCTTTAAGTACTTCTAATTCTTGTCTTGTAACAAGAAAATGTTAAATTATAAAATATAAACTTAGTATAAGAGCAGTGAAAAGTACCACGTTCTTTAACTCAATTATGTGAGAGTGTAATGAAAGCAATTTATAAACTTGAATATTTAAAACAATATAAAATAAACTAAAGTATAATGTAGATAGTACCTATTAGATATTTAGTTTTTATGTTAACTACTCGTACATAGATATCAATAAGATTATATATAATATACAGTTTTTTATTTTAACAACCTTCAAAATAATTATACCTAACCTGATATTTTTAAGATCTTCATGGTAAATCCTTAAAAAGTTAAGGCCTGTAACAGAAAGATGATATTAGTTATCATTTACATGTAAAAAATAAATAGATATACATGTATTTATGTATCTAATTTGTACTAATATAGAATAACGCTTATTTTTATTTATAAGTGTGGATTTAAAAAATATTCGTGAGATCAATGAAGCTATGTGCAAAGGATATAGAAGCATAAAGCAGAGAAACTGTCATTGACGACTGAAAGGAACTAGCAACACAAATTTTGTGATCTTATAAATTCCATTTCTTACTCTAACAATATCTTGCTACGTCTTGCTACCTAGTGGATAATGATACACCAATAAAATTAATTTTTGGCAACGCTATAAAAGCTGTCGCGGCTACAAAGAAACAAATTGCCGAATTACATGTCAGCGCGACAAAGCATTTAGTTTTCATAAAACATAGTTTTGCTGTAGATAACGTCAGAGGAAAAATCATTATCGTATTCGTATCTTTTAATATAAAGACATTCTACGTATTAATAAAAATATTAACATGGCAAATAGGCAATGTTTTTTTCTAACAAGGTATAAAGAACAACGTATATGTCGCAGGTTTACCACCAACCGCTACTTTAGCTATAAAAATGTATACCTAGTAGGTACAATACCAAAACAGACTTAATTTTACCATATTATGTATTCTGTCTACTTAGTATATTAGAATTTACAAACTTAAATACTTAAGACTAGGCGGCGCGCATATTAAGCCTGTTTCTAATATGCTGCGAACAACTAGAAAGCTTTTAAATAAAGCTTGAGCGAAGCGAGGTCATAGTATAATATAAATTAAAAAAGAGAAATATTCCAATTAAGAGATGATTATTTCGAAAATATCTATGTTATTAACGCTGTAAGTAACAGCAGTGTAGTTTCTAATGTAAATTGGATAAAATACCTTTTTTTTTTTAATTTAACGAGGGGGAAATCTTCTAAAGATATCCAACCAACGTACGAGATGGATAAAATACCTAGTGTAAGAATTAAGACACCTAATATAACAGTTAGATACATTTGTTTGATTCCTAAATTAGTGAAATATTAATGTTCACCCAAAAGTTAATGGTTACACGTGACATCTTCCATTCATTCGTCATATTCTACGTTTTCCACGCACATTCTGTACGGTTTGGCATAGTGCCTTGAAGACTAAGCTTTACAACAGAGCAGGCATTTTGCATTAGTATTGTAATCTATACTAATATTATAAAGAGGCGGAGTTTGTTTGTTTTGGAACGCGCTAATTTCACGAACAATTAATCCGATTGGAAAAATTCTTTTTGCAATACAAAAAAAAAATTTCCAATAAAAAAATTATGATTTTCTTAATATTTTGGTATTTTAAGTACCTCTCAAAAGAGGCTCCCGCTAATTTTGAGACTTTATTTTATTGGTTCAAAAATATCGAATTTTCAAAAAAAACGCTTTAATTTTGTTTTTTTTTGCTCATAACTTTTTTAATAATGGTCGAAGTTCAATTATAACTTTACATAAAAAAATATAAAAAAAAATATAAGTTTTAATCGAGACTTTTGAATTTTAAGTTTTCAAACGTGTTTTTAAAACTGTGTGTATAGTTCGTTTTTTTTGAAAATTTTCTTTAGAAAATAATTTTTTTCTTTTATTTTTAAAATTGGAAAAAAATTGTAATTATGGAAGGCCTACTACTGGACCGAGCTTAAAAGTTGCATGTTGGATAGAAGTTTAAAATAAAAAAATTAAACTTTGAAAACTTAAAATTCTATTAAAACATTTTAAATATTTTTTTATATATTTTTTATAAGGGTAATCCAAAAGCATTTTTAAGAAAAAGTTGAATCTAGACCATTATTAAGAAAGTTATGAGTAAAAAATCAAAAAAACCGGTTTGGAAACAATGATCAAAAAATCTCAAAATTTAGCAGGAAGCCTCTTTTGAGGGGTACTAAAAATACCAAAATATTAAGAAAATCTAAAGTAAAAGTTATTGAAACCGTCCAATTTAGCGTGGAATGTCCCATAATTATGTAGTCTATCTATTCCATACTAACCGTTAATACGAACCTAGCGAGGGTGAGTCACTTGTTTGTTACATATATTTTTAAAGATATTATTTTGTTTCAGTTTGCCTCTTGTGTATTTTTTACTCTAATTTTTTTCGAAATGATTTATCTGTTCTGAAGTAGTCGATACACTTAATAAAATAAAAATCATACGGATGAGCTAGCCAGTTGGGCGGGACACGCGAACAACAAATGAGCAAAGCGAGTTCTGTTTTAGGTCAACGTTGAACAAATACCAAACAGGTCGCTCGGACGCTTCCGGGGGTCTATTTCTGAACTTCATCTAAAACGACGCAGAGTATTGCACTGTCGGGATTTGCGACTATTGCCATCATACACTTTTTTCTTATGATCCAAATCACTTCTATACAAACAAAGTACATAATATGTAGGTACCGTACAAAGAGTGTAATCTTAAGTCAAACTGTACTAAAAAAAACTAAAAACTAATATCTGTAGCTGTCCTTTTCTATAATTGTATAACACTGTACGTAGCAAAATTAACTAGGTTATTATACTTACATAGTTAATTTTGCTACATACAGTGTTATACTATCATAGAAAAAGACACATACAATAGTATACTGTAAAAACATAAACTCGTAAAAAACGGAGTTACAGTCTTATTCTTCTCAGGTACTGATATAAGCTATACAAGTCCGTAATTATGCGTTAGATTAGATTTTAAAATAAATAGAGTTGGTTAAATTGATAAGTCATTATAAAAGATATTACCTAACTACAAGAACTATTGTATGACAGAAAAGTAATGCGAGAATAAATTTTTCACCTTCCGCCCATGTAACGGTAGCGAAACGACCAAGCCACATATTTTGAATAAGGTGTAGAGTTTGTGAAGTTAGGGCTTGTAGAGTTAAAAGCTTCGCTCTATATGAGATCTGATGACTTTTTGACAGTGCGAGCCGTATGATCTCGTCTTGGCAACATTTTACATGAAAATGTTTTTGGTGGGATATCCCATGACACTAAGTATTCCTATGGAATAATGGAGTTTGTCAATAAAATCCGTTAAATATAGCGTAATGAATTTTATAAAACTGATAGTGTATTATTATTATACTCGTACAGTGGGGACGTTATGTTACAAATAGTGTGTAGGTACTTCCGCGGGCAGCAACGTGTATTATAGTAAATTTATTCCTATTGTCACTGAGAAGTCTGTCTTCCATTTTATGTAATGTTTCATATAACATCCATACTAATATTATAAATGTGAAAGTGTGTTTGTTTGTCCTTCTTTCACGTCAAAACAGAGTGACAGATTGGCGTCATTTTTTGTGTGAAGATAGTTGGAGGGCTGGAGAGTGACGGAAGATTATTTTATTCCCACGGGAAAACACGTTATAATACAAACCAAAAAATTATTTGTGATCAGAATTACTTGAAACTTAGTATTAATACTCTTCATTACAGATTAATAAATACGTGTTTTAGCATTTTTCGAAATTCATTCTATAAGGGGGTAAATAGAGGATAAAAATTTGCATGAAACCTACCTTTTTAGTTAGAGATATTTTTGTAGTTTTTGCGCGAGCGAAGCCGCGGGTTCTGCTCATTATAAATGTTATATTATTCTACTCGGTCTCGGTTGTTTACTTTACATCGAAATACCAGGAACATTAAAATTTTTACACAAACTAACGTAACAGGATACAAATGGCTTGCAGTATTGTTACATTATCATATAGAGTATTTTACGTACTGTATCTATGACTATTTGAGTGAAATGATTAAAAAAAAACATTCAACTGGCACGTTAAGATACCACGTGTATTTCAAATTTATAATGTAAAAGAAATATGTATTGATAAATATAATATTAATACATTATGGTAAAATGTATTTTCGGAGTTTTTTTTACTTCAGTATGAGATGTAAAAAAATCATATGATCGATGAACACTCAATTCACAACTCCGAGGTTCGAGCCACGGAAAGGAATATTGATAAAACGAATAGGTAGAAAAAATAACAGGTAATTATTGCTTTAATTATAAAAATGCAAAATTCGGCGTAGATTGCAGAAGCAATCCCCATTTGCGTCGGTCGTCGTCACCACTTCTATAATCTAAATAAGGAGCAAAAGTTCAACGGCCGCTCTCTCCACATAGGAAGCCACCTCTAAAGACATTCAAGCAGTCCTAACAATTAAAGATCCATATATTTGATCGACATCATTCATTCGACAGTCTGATATATCACAAGTGGCATGAACATTTACAATATTTTCCCATCAAATAAACTTGCTTATTGCATTGGCCATTGGTGTGACAAGACAGTATGTTTAAATAGGTCAGTATACCTGTCATCTTTAAATAGCATTTGTTGGCGTTTATTTAATTTTCTCAGAAATTAGTCTAAATTCCAAATAGCAGGAACTTTCGCTTGACCAAAGGATCTTGATGACGTACCAATTTGGCAAGCGTAATGAGGTAAGATTGCTCTTAGGTATCGTGAACGGAACATTCAAATATCTTAGAACTTTCATGACATCAATAATACAAACATATTACTTATTAGCGTCTGTCACTGTCCTCGAAATGACTATACCACATTCGAAACATGGTCACTATTATAAGTAACTCGATGTATATTTAACCGTGTGACGTAGTTAATACAAGAAGATTGCTAAGAATATAGTAGAATGAAGTAAGCTTAGTTATAATATAAAAAAATAGTTTATAAGGTGTTAAAATAGTCAAATTGAAAACCCATGGATCTACAGTTTCATTAAAAAATCGTTACACAAATCGTAAAAGTCTTAAAGGTATTTAACAAATCTCAAGAGGCTGGTTCAATAGACCACTGTCGTAAATAGATTTTTATAGTTCATAAGATTCATAAGACAATACGATATATTAAAAAATCTTATGCAAAGCTATGCGAGAGCAACAAGAGCTAGCCGAATTA